CTTTTTTTTTTTTTTCAAAACGATAGACGAAATATAGCTAGTGTTCGGTTTCGGTAAATGCTATATATTCATTTAATTAGTTCTGCTAAAAATTTTAAAAATACATAATAACCTCAAAAATCCCAAATTATTATTTATTAAACCTTCCAATGCCACTTTAAAAAGTATCTACATTTATTAACCCTTCCAATGCCACTTATAAAAGCTATTTTAGCTCTTACATTTGTTGTAAAATTGTAATCCTTGTATATATTTTCTCTATTTCTTGTATTCTAATTATTCTTACCAATGCTACTTCAAATGAAACAATGTGTCATTATTTATTTATTTAATTATATCTTTCATAGTTTGCTTGATTATGAATTACTCATTTATTCCACCTAAACACAATTATTAGTGGAAAGTCAAGCAATGAAAATCAGCCCATAAACTCACTAATATAAATCTATGAACTCAAATTGATTATTCTTTATTACTAAAGCACATGAAACCATGAATTAGCTTTCTTATGTCTGTCTCAACAACACAAAGCTCACTCTATTCACTAACCTCCCAAAGTTCAAATTTTCACCTAATCTGGGCACTGGACATGGAAATATGCCTATTAAGGTCCCCAAATGTTCATAACATTTTATGATGTTGTTACATTATTCATCAATCATGAACAATATTACCCAGAAAAAAATAAATAAAAATCCCAAACGTGCTATAGTTTTCCCGTTATGGCAATTAATGTCGATCAATCAACATCCACAGATCAAAAGGTATTTTCCGACGCCCACCCCTTCTTCTCTAATGCGACCCTTAGCGCCTGTCGAGCAACAAAAGTCAAATTGAGTGTTTTTCCACAATAATGAAAAAAAAAGTGAATTTTCATACCTTAACTCTCTTTTTGTTAACGTCGAAATCGAAATTCCCCAAACGGGATGCTGATCGATATTGCACAAGTGGCTTCTTGCCAGGTGGGAACCAAAACTCAACATCATCCACAAACTAAATTCAAAACACAAAGTCACAATTGGTGTTACAAATAGAAAATAGAAGAAGGGAATATAAGGATATGTGTTATATGGTACTTAACCCCCATGATTGGACTTTCATATTCAACACGCACATAATCGTCTCTTTTCTCTGTAATTTTCGGAGTAAAGTTGTCCGGTTTTGTCGACTTTATCTGTTTGCATGATATATAGTAATCAGCTTCATATTGTTTCAGTTTGTGTCCAACAAAAGGTATATTCGTAATAAACAACCAAAATAAATAATTCACGAAAAAAAAAAGACACTATCATAAAAAATTCAAATATCAGATGTATAAACTAACATCAACGTTCTTCCAAATTCTGAAATTACATTTTCTTATTGTTTAACTTTTATTTACACCTATTACGTGACAACACACCCGATAATTATTAACTAAAAGTGTTGGAAGTACCACTTCAAGAAGCTCCTCCATTGCTCGCTCTTTGGTCACAGGTTTTTTACCCCCGCGCCCCTCCTCAGGATTGTAATTCCTGAAAAACACCAGTCTTTTCTTTCAGTAAGCATTTCGTAACATGCTCAAGATCTTCCACACGATCAATTTAACATTTACTAAGAAAAAATAAAATGGAGATAAACTTAAGAAAGTAATCATTACTGATACATTTTCGATGCATATTGTGTCAATTTAGTCAATCTCACACTCACAAAAACATTTTCCACACTTGTGTAAAAACAACAAAGATTGTGTGGAAGTGAGGAGCCTCACCGTCCAAATATATCCCCTTATTATTATTATTATTATTATTATTATTATTATTATTATTATTATTATTATTATTATTAACAGCAAAAGGCAAAAATTTGCAAAAATACCACCTTTGTCTAGGTGTTGGTATAAGATATACAGTTACACTTTCATGTTTCATTTCGTGCTTCGTTCTATTGGATGAGTGACACATGTACGTATATGACTCCATTCTATGTGTTTTAAAAAACTGACATTTTTGCTTATTACGATCAAGAAAAGCGATGATTGTTATTACGACCGGAAGTAGTAGTTTTGCCTAGAGAAAGCAAAAAGATGGCATTTTTCCAAATTTCCCACGGTAATAATAACAAGAATATAAATGAGAACAATAATAATAATGAAGAAGAAGAAGAAGAAGAGAACTTACCAAGGAGGGGCATAATGTGTGAGATCACTCATATTCTCAGAAGT